TCATAGGAGAAATGAAAAACAATTTATATACGCACAGTGATTCTCAACGCACTTAAGAGTTTAAAATTTTGTTAAGCTTTTTTTTTTTTACCAGAAAACGACGTTTTAGTATTAGTATTAGTGCGTGTTAATCGAGTTAAGAATTTATAAAAAATGAACTTTTAACCCATTATCGATGAATGTATGATGAAAAGAAAAATTTATGAAAGTTTTAAGAAAATTTCAAAATTATTATCGAAAAAAGTTTCGACTAACTAACTTTGAACGTGAAGACGAAAATATGGGGAATTCATGTCAAGCCATATATTAAGTTTCATTAGTAATTAATAATAAAATATGTAAAAAAGTTTCAACCATTATCGTACACCACTTGAGTTATTCTTGGTCAGGGAGAACTATAAAGAGAATGTTTAACGTACATATCAGCATTTCTGCTGGAATAATTCATTTATTCGCAGCAGTTGATCAGGAAAATCTATTTTTGCCTTCAATTATCAATACATCGTACACGTAAACAAGCTTCCAAGTTTGCATATGTGCACGTTCCGGTGGCCAAACTTTCCCCATTCCAATATCCCATACACTATGTTAGGGAGAAATATCGAAATCAAGATGAACAAGAATATTCTGCAAGCTTTAAATATCCATATATATGTAAATATATATACAATATATATATATATATATAATAGATAGAATATATACATAAGAAAAAATGCACACATTGCATCAATACTTGCTTAATTGCATATCAATCATGAACAGGATTTGCTACAAATGAGTCCGTCGATGCTCAAAATACTAATGAGCATTTAAGTACAGAGAAATAAAGGCCATACTATGCATTAAAAGCACATGTTGGTTATTGATTAAAGCATTATTTGAATTTTATTTCTATTCTTAGAAATGTTAAATTTTCATTTTCAATTTTCGATTTAATTCCATTATTTAAAAGCTTAGTCTTAGCATAATGAATAACTTAATAAGAAATAAATAAAACAAGGCATACGGCAAGTCTTGATTCTCTTTAACGGCCAATGTAAATCTGCAAAAATTCTTTTTACATTCGCTACCATAAATGGCGAACGCATTAACCCGCATTTACATTGAAAACGAAATTTGTCCGTACGCTTTACCTAATAGAAGTTAATTTTTGTTCAATATTAAGAAATAATATGGAAAAATAAATGAACGAAGCAATATGATGTCTTTGTACGTAGACAAATTTAATATAATGCATTCGTCAATTTTCAGATGAAGCGAGAGCTTTTTGTGTCCTATAAATATTTAGTCACGTATTCTAAGTAATTACTTGGGAAGGAAATCGGGTTAGACTATTTTGAATAATTTTTCCGCTTACTAATCATTTCGATTATCATATTATATGCATATATGTGAATGATTTGCTATTATAAAAGAAAATAAAAAAAATATTTAAAAGCGTGCGATGTTCGTCGGCCAGACGGCGAAAAAACTCATTTGCAACGTAACCATAACCTGACATTGCCGTTAGCTCTTTGTGAGCAAGCTTTTCTTTTTTGTAAAAATAAAAATAAAAAATTTTAAAAACTCTTATAAAACGGTAGCGAAACATATCTGGCAAATAGCTTTTTGTTATTAAATGCTTTAAATATTTAATT